CAATAGACTTCTTTCAACATAATGATGTCACATTGTTACCATGGCCACCAAGATCTCCCGACTTATCCCCAATTGAGCACGTGTGGGATATGATGGGTAGGAGATTGCTCAATTTGCAACGTCCTCTTCAGACTCTAGAAGCACTCGAGAGGAGTTGGTGGTTGCCTGGAATGAGATACCACAGGAGGACATTGACCACCTGATCAGAAGCATGCCTAGGCGCGTTGGAGAATGCGTAGCACATCAGGGTGCATCCACACATTATTAAAGGTCAAAGGGCTTTAAAGCAGTGCAATCATTTTGAAATTTTTATCATTTACTTATTATGCTTTATTAAGTACTTATACAAAATTTTATTAAAATAAAACCATTTAAACTGGGTGTTCGGATTTATATGTCACTTAGTATATTTTCGCGACTGCAATTCTTTGTCGCCAGTAGGCGTGGGGATTAAAAAACCAGTAAGCAAGCGTTCAAATGTGTATATATTTTCATTGAAAAAGAAACCTAGTTGCTTAGTAAGACCTTTACAGGCATTATCAATGTTGAAAATTGGTTGATGTTACAAGGAATTGGATGAAGAAACAATTTTGCATCCATCCATAGCCTTCTGAATTAAATGAGCATCTGTTAATGGAAACTAGTGCTACCTAGCACTGTAATTTAGCAACATTATGTCACAGGATGGCATGCAATCTCAAGCATATCCAATATCGAGGCAGTGATAGCTTTAAAGCAAACATAATAATCAATGGTGCACTTTAACACCATGTGAAGATGAATAAGGCACAAACGAGGAACGTGTCAGCTTGAGCGTAAATTGCGCTATCAGTAAAGGGGCCCGAAGGGCGTCAATCACTGAAATGCCGCGCTAAATGAGCTGCCTGCAGGTCTCGATGCACCTGCAGGAAACTTTTCTTGCTCATTAGCAGCTTCGGTAAATCGCTATTGTCGTTCGAATGTTCGAGGTGGTTAGGTAATTCATCCTGGTTGATCTGGCCAACTACGATCCATGCTTTCTAGAGAGCTTAAGTGCAGCAAAAATAAAGAAACGTTCAATAGTCTGTTACGTTATTTTCGACAGCGATAGCAAATAACAATGGACGGAGAAAAAAGAGATTTCATGGCCACTCAAGTGCACAGTGGTAATTTGACGCTATTGACTTCTGACACCCATGACATGTTGCTTATTTTTTTTTTAATTTCGATGTGAAGCTAATTACAAAATTCCAGGACCATGTAAAGCTATTTCGCGGAAAGCTTTAGGTAATATTCTTGTTATGATTACTCTAAACCGGTCAAGAAAGTAATATGCATAGATCCATAATTCCAGAACGACAAAAGAGCACAGAACACTGCCTATTTCTTGCATAATATTTTTATCTGTGATGCAAAAGTCAAATCAATGTTATATTTTAGCCATTATGCTAATTATTCTAACAACTTATCTAGGTTTGTGAATTCTGGCAACATCACAAGATGAGGAAAAATGACCTTACGAAATTAGCTCCTCCTGATTCTGCCTAAAAAAGGAACATCTCATTTTGATAACGGAGAACATGGATGGGCAATCTCAGAATACTCCACTTTCTACACTAAGTGACATATAAATCCGAACACCCAGTTTAAATGGTTTTATTTTAATAAAAGTTGGTGAATGTATTTATCTTACTGTAAATAACAAGTGAAAAAATTTTCAGCCTTGTCAGTTGGACATTCCGGTTTTTATACTGCTTTTTTTTAATTCACTAACGCTCTAAAAATGAATATTTCAGCCGCAGTAAAGAATCAACGTTGGCGGATTTTGGTTCTTGCCATCCTTTACGATCGGTTACGATGCCTAGAGTACGGAGACCTGTACGATTTCGTCAACTTAGTGAGTTTGATAGGGGCCGTATAGTGGGACTTCAGGAAGCTGGACTTTCTTTTCGGGCAATTGCAGTTAGAGTGCAAAGAAGTGTAGACACTGTGGTTAGGTATTGTCAGGCATGGCTTCGAGAAGGCCGTACGCGAGCAAGGGGCACTGGACGCCGCCGTAGAACAACAGACCGTGAAGATCTCCGCCTAAGATTATTGGCCTTAAGGGACCGTTTCTCCACTACCAGGTCCATTGCAAATGAATGGTTTGCAGAACACGGAAGACCTATTGGCATACGAAGTATTTACCGACGAATGAGAAGTTTTGGCTTGTTTTCATACCGGCCACACTGGGTTCTCCCTTTAACTCGAGAACACCGACGTAATCGCCTTGAGTGGTGCAGACAACGGTCACTCTGGGATCAGGAATGGAATAGTATTGTCTTTAGCGACGAGTCTCGATTTTGTTTAGGCATGCACGATGGTCGTGCCAGTGTTAGAAGGCGACGTGGTGAAATAAGGAATCCACAGTTTTTTGTTGAAAGACATGTTCATCACACTGTTGGAGTTATGGTTTGGGGTGCTATAGCTTATGGTTCCAGGTCACCTTTAATCTTCATCAGAGGTAACATGAACTCGCAGCGTTATATCCACGAAGTTCTAGAACCCCATCTTTTACCCTATCGTGACACCCTGGCAGATCCAACTTTCCAACAAGATAATGCCCGACCACATGCTGCAAGAGTCACAATAGACTTCTTTCAACATAATGATGTCACATTGTTACCATGGCCACCAAGATCTCCCGACTTATACCCAATTGAGCACGTATGGGATATGATGGGTAGGAGATTGCTCAATTTGCAACGTCCTCCTCAGACTCTAGAAGCACTTCGAGAGGAGTTGGTGGTTGCCTGGAATGAGATACCACAGGAGGACATTGACCACCTGATCAGAAGCATGCCTAGGCGCGTTGGAGAATGCGTAGCACATCAGGGTGCATCCACACATTATTAAAGGTCAAAGGGCTTTAAAGCAGTGCAAACATTTCGAAATTTTTATCATTTACTTATTATGCTTCATTAAGTACTTATACAAAATTTTATTAAAATAAAACCATTTAAACTGGGTGTTCGGATTTATATGTCACTTAGTATACTTCAAAAGGCGAGGTAAATATTGTATATACAGGGTGCTCTTGAAGTTGAGACTCTCCTTTAAGCAGCATATGGCTCTCATAAAAATAAAAAAAATTAGATGAAAAGACTACTGTATAGGTAAATTGAGCTGATTGAGTAGCGTGGCCATGAGGCTAGCTTCTGTCTTTGTATCATTGTAATTTAAGGCAACAAACACATGTATTTTACTTCTTCAGGCAGTATTCATTAGTGAGACTTGATAGCATTTTTACTCGTCCGCTGCTAATTTGCCACACATTAGCTTTATTATTTCAAATGTATTCGTTTCTGAGAAAGAGCCACAACTTTTTGAACATCCAATATGGATAATTTTACACCGAGACAGAAGCCTTAACACCTACCCTCCATGGCAGAGGTGTGGCCACATTTTTAGGTCAAGGCGTTCACGTTCGGAATTAATCCCCTATGTTTGTCTAGCCAATGAAACCACATATATATATTTAAAATTATTCTTCAATATCTTCAACGTTGTTTAAAATTTTTCTTTAATGTAGTATACGTTTCTGTCATAACGGTGACTTTCTTCAGTACATGATGATATTTTCAATGTTATCGAAAGTGTCTTGTACTGAAGACGGTGAACGTTGTGACCGAAAAAACCTATACTACATTAAAAAAGTATATCAAATATATGTTGTTTTGTTGGCTAGACAAACATGAGGGTTTATCGACATGAATACCACTAGATAAGTTCCAGACGTTACCTTACGTTAGGAATTATTAAGTCACAACTTTGGCGTCGCTCCTTTTCATAGAAAATGATGAAAAAAAAAACAAATATATTATAGTAGACCATGCGAAGTATTTAGGGATCACCATGGATTCAGATTTGAGGTTTAAACAACATGTTACGCATTTATCTCGCTTAACATACATGCGTTTGAACCACCAATCGCCATATTCTGAAAAGACTCGCAAAAAACTGGCTGAGACTCTGGTTCTATCGTTAATAAATTATTCAATTGCTGTTTACTTTCCTTGTCTTGATTACGAGACTAGATATCGAGTACAAAAAATTCAAAATAGCTGCTGTAGGTTCGTTTGTGGTCTGCGAAAGTTTAGCCATGTGTCTAAGAAGATCAATGAGCTTAGATGGTTGAGGGTTGACCAGCTTTTCATATATAACTTACTAATTTTAGTACAACGAATAAAAATCAATAGGCTACCTACTTATTTACTAAAAAGGCTGGACCACGTGGGGATCTCAATTACAGGAATCTGAGACATAACTCTGACTTCTATATACCTAGTTATAGGAGCAACATTTTCCATCGTAGCTTCACCTACAACGCTGTCAAGGTTTACAATAGTCTTAATGACAATTACAAAAAGATGGGAATACTTGCTTTCAAGAGAGCCATTAAGAACCACCTTCTGGGGTCTGCTAGCCAAGTTAGCTGATATATTTATTTTTTTTTGTCTTTATTGTTTTTTTTTGTTAGAGCGGGCTATGTGGAATAGATGTACAATATAAACATACTAAGATTAATCTGTTTAAGCTTAATTACTGTATATATTATTTAGTAGATTGCTATTGATTGTTATGTTTTTCCTTTTGTATGTGTTCCTGCGCTGTGAGGTTAAGTGGTAGCGTAGCCAGCTGGCTAAGCTTCGCCTCGCAGTGTGGAGGGATTAATAAAGTCATTATTATTATTATTATTATTATTAAATAGGTTGAGAAATCTGTCGATCTTCTTATCTATGTGCGCACATCGTTTTAATTTTTTCATATGACGGACTTACGCACTGTTTGCTTTCCGTTTATCTTTATCCATGAATAGATCCATACCGCGCTGATGAGTGTTAGAGGGCAAGAAACAACGCTGTCTGTTGGTCATGGTTACAGAGAGAGCAAACCTATTCAGTTTAATTAGGAATATACCGTTTGAAGTGAACTATTGGTAAACATTTTGAAAATACGAAATCATGATATATGATGCTTACCATTCTGCATAGCAACGCTTTTATCTTCAACTCTACTGACATAACAACAGAGCTCATCTTGCCGATCAGCGTTTTCAACCAATTCGGCCTCAACGCTGAAGCCCCACATTTGCTCTAAGGTGTTTCGTGACAGCTCCACCTGATACAGGATCTTCGCACAAACTTCTACTACTTCGTGGGTGTGTAACTGCAATAAATAAAAAATCGCATCAAATAACACTGATCAACAGCCAAAAAATATCCTAAATAAAATCAACAAAATATTACTATTTTTAATGTGCTAAAACCGGAATGAAACTTATTTTTTCAATATTAGTTCAAGTTTTAGAGATACGGTAATTATATGTGTTCCTGCTGTGACAGTGTTAATATACTGTAATTCACAAGAATGCACGTGCTACATTTTTATATTCGGCAAGGAAAGATGATGTAATCGGCATGATTGTGTTACGTTATACATACGTGTACATTATATTGTTTTATATTCGCCATTTTTTCCTCAGTTGGCTGACAGCGTTCATGCAAGATGTCTCGAAAGTGTGTAAACAATCCAGATCAGTTTTGTTACGTGTGTGGTGATGTGACTTTTGCGTCTTGCATATCAGCTTTATTTCGGTTGTAAACTAAGTGATCAAGACAAACAGTGGGCACCCCACATCTGCTGTAATACACGTGCTTCAAGTCTGAGGAGCTGGTTAAATGGCAAAAAACGGTCTATGCGCTTTGCTCTCCCAATGGTTTGGAGAGAGCATACAAATCATATTAATGATTGTTACTTTTGCATGGTACCTTGTGTTGGACAAGCCACAGGTATGTCCAAGAAAAAAAAATCGGTTATTAACTACCCAAACATACCATCTGCGATGAGACCTGTGCCTCACAGTGACGAAAATCCTATTCCAAAACCCCCAGAATCCTACACTTGCGAATCAGAAAACGAATCAGATCATGGCGATCGAGTGATTCGTCAGGAAGAAGATATGCCATCAACGTCAAGAGATCCTGATTTTATACCGAGCACGTCATGCCACCAATCGCACAAAATAACACAGTCAGAATTAAATGATCTTGTAAGAGATTTAGAACTTCCAAAATGTAAGGCAGAGTTACTTGGATCAAGACTGCAGCAGTGGAACTTGTTAGAAGACGATGTTTCGGTATGTGTTTTTCGTAAACGCCACAAAGACTTAGAACCATTTTTCAATATGGAGAATAACTTGGTTTTCTGCAGTAACATTAACAGCTTACTGGCGGCTTTAAATATAAACTATAACCCAGAAGAATGGAGATTGTTTATAGACAGTTCAACATTGAGTTTAAAGGCAGTGTTATTGCATATTGGAAATATTTTACCATCTCTTCCTGTAGGGTATGCAGTTCACATGAAAGAATCATATGACAATATGAAGTACCTATTGACATGCATAAAATACGATGAGCACCAATGGCATATTTGTGGCGATTTGAAAGTTGTTGCACTTTTACTTGGGCTGCAGCTAGGCTACACAAAGTTTTGCTGTTTTTTGTGTGAATGGGACAGTCGGGCAAAGGCACTTCATTACACCAGACAAAACTGGCCTGTTCGTCAATTCCTAGAGCCAGGTCAAAAAAATGTACAGCATATGCCATTAGTTGATTCGAAAAAAATTTTATTACCACCACTGCATATCAAGTTGGGCCTAATGAAAAACTTTGTCAAGGCATTAGATAGAGATGGGTCAGCTTTTCAATACCTGCGTCAGAAATTTCCAAGACTAAGTGAGGCAAAGGTCAAAGAAGGTATTTTTGTTGGGCCACAGATTCGAAATATTTTGTAAGATACACAGTTTGAAAACACTTTAACAGGTATTGAAAAAACTGCTTGGAATGATTTCCGTCTGGTGGTCACTAATTTCTTGGGAAATAGAAAAGCTGACAACTATAAAACCCTTGTCAAAAATATGCTGTCATCGTATCAAAAGATGGGCTGTAATATGTCTCTTAAGATACATTTCCTACACTCACACCTGGACTTTTTTCCTGACAATTGCGGAGCCGTAAGTGATGAGCACGGCGAACGTTTTCATCAGGATATTTCAACAATGGAAAAAAGGTACCAGGGAAAGTGGAATCCTTCCATGCTTGCAAACTACTGTTGGACTCTTGGTAGAGATGCTCCAGAAACGATCCATAAAAGTACAGCAAAAAGACAGCGCATATAGTGATTCTTATAAGTATATGAATCTTGTTACTTTTTTTAATATATCCTTAAAAATAAAAAGTTTTTTTTCTAAACCGCAACTAATTTTTTTATTTCATTGTCATTTTTGGATTCAGCGCCCCAAAATGAACAAAGAAGTGCACTTTTCCCACAAGATACAATTAAAAAACTAAAATTTGTTGTCCAGTGTTGACTCTGCATTTCCCACGCAACGCCGTTTTTAGTTCATAAAGTAATATGTTCAGCACAAGTGACCCTCTAAACAAGTTAGTTACGAACAGAAAAATTAAACTGATCAAGTCAGTCAAATAGATTCGTTCAATTAGTCGGGTAGTACCGTTCATGTGGCAACGTCGCCTCTCCCACATACCTGACCTGACCACTGTAGACGCAGCACCGCGGCAGTAGCGGTAGGACACTTATTGAGACGGGCAGGCCCGTTGGTAAACCTAGATAGCAGAAGCAAAGACGTATATCGCAGACATTTATCATTCACTCTCTAGCGACATCCCTGATAACATTGTACGTGTCGATGGATACAATTTTTTCCGTTGTGATCGAGCCTCACGAGGCGGTGGTGTTGGCATTTATATTAAATCGCATTTGAATGCAAAAGTTATTAATGTTGATATTCGTGTTGTATGTTTAGAGACTCTTTTTGTGCAAGTGCATGTAGATAAACATAAATTCGCGGTTGGCGTTTTGTATCGTCCGCCGTCGCAAAGTCTTTTGGACTGTGCTAATGTCTTGGATAATTTGCTACCCCTCATCGTTAATGATTTTGACAATGTTATTGTTTTGGGTGATTTGAATTACGATTTTCTGAATTCAACTAATATCATATCCTCGAGTTTTGAGGTAACTGGCTTTTCACAGTTAGTTACATCTCCTACACGGGTGACAAACGACACCGCTTCATTGCTTGATCCATTTTTCACTAATCAGCCGGAACTTGTCACTGGCTGTTTGGTACTTGATGCTCATGAAATATCTGACCATAAGGTTGTTATGTGTACTCTGAAACTTAGTGCTGGCAAGATGCATCAAAAATTCATATCCGTGAGAGACTTCCGTGAGTTTGATGAGGCAGCTTTCATTTCAGATCTGTGTACCTCTAATCTTGATGACTTATATTTTATGAATAACATAGATGCTAAAGTGGAACATCTGACGACAACCCTCACAAATATTTATATCAAACATGCTCCGATTAAGACACTATGTGTTAATAAACCGCAATCTCCTTGGTTGGATGAGGGAATGAAAAAGCTTATCAAAGAAAAAGATTCAGCTTTTACCAAATATAAAGCTAGTAAATCACTTGAAGACCTTGATAAATTCAAACAGCTGAGGAATAAGGCACTACATAAAATACGAATTAAAAAGAAAGAGTACATTCAGAATCTAACTGATCAAAATAATCTAAAAACGTTATGGTCTGGGCTGAATAGGCTTAACATAAAATCTCGTTCAAAACAAACAATACCAGATGAGCTAGCCGATGCAAATAGTATTAACAATTATTTTATGTCAGTTTATAGTTTCGACAGTGTTTCAGAAAATGTATGTCGGTTTTATGACAGCAACAAATTGGGCAATCGAAATCGCTTTTCTTTGCGAGTTGTCGAGCCGGTGGAAATATTGAAGGCAATCAAAGATATCAAATCAGATGCAAAAGGAATTGACACCCTCTCACTAACCATGGTCAAAGTAAGTCATCCCGTAACTTTTTTCCATATCACCCACATAATAAATTCATGTTTGGAGAATGGCTACCACCCTAAGCTGTGGAAGCTGGCTCTAATTATACCTGTCCCTAAAATATCTAAACCTACTGAACTTAAACATCTTATACCCATTAGTTTGTTGCCGGTGCTAGCGAAAATTCTGGAAAAAATTATACAGCAACAAGTTGTCCATTACATAGAGGAACTAAAAATAATATCTTCATGTCAATCGGGCTTCAGGAAGCACCATAGTACCACCTCGGCACTGTTAGATCTTTGTGGTAATGTTATTAGGGCAGTTGACAAAAAGTTAGCAACAGCAGTGGTATCAATTGACTATTCCAAAGCGTTCGATCGAATAAATCATAAACTTTTGTGCGCCAAGCTGAGGTATATAGGCTTCGATGATGCTGCTGTCAGTTTTTTCCGCAGCTATTTGTCCGGTCGCACGCAATGTGTCGCAATCAATAACGATCAATCCAATATTACGACTATTCCGTCAGGAGTTCCGCAAGGCTCAATTTTGGGACCTGTGCTTTTTTTGATTTACACGTGTGACCTGCATAAAGCAGTTGACAATTCAGGGATACAAACATTTGCTGACGATACTCAAATAATATTCCATTTCGACGCCTCAGATACGCAAAATTCATCAGACATTTTACAGCTTGATTTAGATAAGGTACATCAGTTTTCTATGGAACATAATCTTACTATTAATCCAGATAAGACACAAGTGTTATTGTTTTGTTCTGATCAGAAGAGGAAAACTGTCGAAGATTCTTTCCATCTGACTATTGATGGCATAACATTACAGCATACTCAAACAGCTGAGGTACTAGGAGTGGAAATTGACACAAAATTAAGGTTCCGCAGCCAAATAGCTAATTTGATGAAAAAAACTTACCTGTGTTCTAGGGCTCTTTATTCCAATCGCTACTTGCTTAACTTTAAGCTGAGAAAAAACTGTGCGAATCTTTGGTGATGTCAATGCACAGTTACTGTGATGTCGTTTATTATCCATGTTTGGATCAATTGACCAAAAATCGTCTTCAAATCATCCAAAATAACTGTGTTCGCTTTATTTATGGGTTGCGTAAATACGATCACGTAAGTGATAAATATAGGGAATTGAACTGGCTTAGGTTAGGAAGTTTGGTTAAACATAAATTCTTAGTTTTAGTTCATAAAATAATATTGTCATCAAAGCCTGAATATCTAAGAGCTAAGTTAAGATTTAATTACGAAGTGCATAACAGG